ATTAGTAAAAGTCTAAGTTTAAAGGTAGAAATAACCGAAAAATGGATTTAAAAGTATTTTGATTAGCAGGGAAAATAGGTTAGGTCTTCGTTAATTTTCGAGGCTTAATATTTTAAAGTTTCATAAAATTCATAAAGCAGAAAACAGTTAAATGGTGTAGAGTCGTTAGGTTATTTTAAAGCAAGAGCACATTAAAAATGAGCAACTCGCCGGGACTCGATCCTGGGCCTCTCGAATACGCGTCAAGTGCGCTACCGTTACACCACGAAAGCATGCAGAAAGGAGGGAGAAAATAATTTATGTACTCTCCCTTTTAAAAGGCGACTGTGGATTAGGGGAATCGTTATATCCTGGTGGTGAAAAATTATAATCCACCACCTTTTAGTTCGGGCGCCAGTGTAGATTCATTTAAATTTCTTTCGATGTTAGGAAACTGAAGAAATGTGCAATGCCTGCCCTCACCGGGACTCGAACCGCGGACCTCTCCAATATGCGCGGAGTGTGCTACCGTTACACCACGAAGGCATGCAGAAAGGAGGGAGAAAGCATGTTACAGTGAAAAGCACTGCGTCATTTTCTGTGAATGTATTAAAAAACTCACGAAAGAAACACCTACTGAAATTATGTTATAAATATACATTGTTGCTTCATTCGTCTGAGAAGTCCAAAGAACCGTATTCCGAAATGAAATAGGGTAAGATATAAAGGACGTGATTACAATGTAAAAATAAATTATACTTAAAATAGTCTTTTCTGAATGGCTTAGAGCTTGATAAATAGTTCTGAAAGTATTCTTCTCCGGCACGTTTGTATGAATAATAATGCACTGGAAAAAAATTATGCTTTTCCCAGTATGGCATTTTCTGCTGCTTCTTACGAAACGGATTGTGATAAAATATTTCACTCAAAACGCTTATGAAATAAGAATGAAAAATTACCATCCCTCCCATTTTCTCGTTTTAACTTGAATCATTTCTACCATTCTTGCTTTCTACCATTTTCCATTTTGTTAATAGAAATAAAAATAAAATTTTCAATTTTATGCCATTTCTTTTCCATTATACCAGTTTATTAATTGTAGCAGACACAAGAAAACCTCTTTTTAGGCGATGAAATGATTCCTCCTGAAGGCACAGGCATTATAAAATCGAGAAAAATTTAAAAATGCAGGGAAAAAATTCTCAAGCCTCACCAAATTTGACTTGGAGTGCACCCTCAGGGCTTGAGGAGTTCTTTACTTCTCAACGGAACTTTTTTCCTCAAATTTCCTTTTTTGTCTGAAAGCACTTGAGTGGCAAATAGTGGGTACGAGTTTCTGCTGAAGCAAGCACTTTGCTCTAACTTCATCGATCGAATCTTTGAGCTTTGGGATTTATTTATTTCAGTTTACAGGAAGTTCTTGCGATTTTCCTTTTAAGATTCTGGCATATGAAGCACTCAACGTGAGTAGTTTGTTTCTTGCTCTAGAAATCACTCTGAGAAGTTCTGAGGAACTCTTAGGAGTTGGCATATATGTTGAAGTGCATAGTTATTACGAAGCTTCGCATTATCCATTATGTAATATATATTTCAGAAAGTCTGTGTGTAATAGTGATAATAACTTTGTAATCGGGAGCCTGATGAGTACTTTTCTTAAAAAGCTTTTATTTAAATTTCATGTCTTTAAGAAAATTGTATTCTTCCAGATTGGAACTCGCGATTTGAAAACGGAGATTTTCATACGTGATCAGTATATATTTATGTAAATTAATAATAAAATATTTTTTTAAATCTAGGTATTATATTGCGTTATTAAATAATAAAACATTTCGTAAATAGTATACCCACTGTCACGGGAATCACTCTAGTTTCGGGAATTTTAATATTTATATTCTTATGAAAGGATTTGTTTTAATTATTTACTTGCTGACAAAATCATTCAGATTTTTTTCGAGTTCAAACTGCGCAAATTTAAGTGAAGTTTTAATGAAATAATAATAAATATGTTTTCTTGCATTTAAAAATATGTATATTATACATGTATGTTAAATAAGGATGTAAAAAAGAAATATGTTTGTTAAATTTTCACGTTTCCCTTCTTTCTAGGTGAGTTTCTTTTCTTTTGTGAACATTAACAACGATGCATGTAAGTAAGCAATATATTTGATATTAATAATATATATTATTTATTTTGTGCCTTCCAAATTTAGATCTGTAAGATAACATAAAGCGAAAGATAAAAGTATTTACACTGCTCAAGATTTTATACAAAATTCCATTCATTTCATGAGCAATTGGTACAGATTCTTCCTTTTCGCAGTATAAAAATGCTACCAGAGCCTTATTAAGAAACTCTACTCACGCTGACAGCAAAACGTTTCCTTACCTTTATTTTCTGAATTAGAGAAGTTTTAATCCATGATTTATGATATTTCTAAATATCATCTCTAGGCCAAAGATTACAAATGTTATTCACTCGTTAAATTTGCAGCATTATGAATTTAGATAATCTTCGGATAATAAACTGAATATGAACACTTCATTTTTATTAGGCCTAAAATAACCTAAGATAAACTAATAAACACGTGATTTCATATGCTAAACTACATCAAAACAATTATACATATATATTTTGAAAACTATAATATAAAGCAACCATATTACAGTTAAACTTCTAAAGATAAAAACAGTAGACAACTAAAGTTTATTTGAAAGACATTCACCAAAATCTGTTTAGTTATAATTTTAATTTAATAACGTTTTTCCTGTAAAAATAATAAATAATGGCCTTATATTAGAATTTGCTTCCCTTAATCTTTATTTTGATCGAAAATGAAGTTTCGGTAGTTGCTTTCTTTTATATATTTTCGCCCACCAGCGGCCGAGCGGTAAAGTCGCTGAACACTGGTAGTACGGTCCGAGGTTCGAATCCTGCGAACGGGCTGACTGCATGGGTGTTTTCGTGGTTTTCCCCATGTGTAACGTGTATACGAGCCAGTTTCCCTTAGAAAGTCCTCCACGAAAGCATCCCTCCCCTTAGGCAGATAGCCCTAGTGTGCTTTGCCATAATTTAATACACACACACACACACTTTTATATATTTTCAGGATATATAAAAAAACATATAATTTAAATTTAACAATGTTTTTCTTGTAAAAATAATGAATAAGTTCCTTATGTTGTAATTTGCTTTCCTTAATTTTTATTTTGCTCGAAAATTAGGTTTTGGTAGCCGTTATTCAAAGGTTGTGAACTGCTAACCTAGGCCATTTGGCACTCAGCACACAGTTGATGAAAAAATACATACACAACCACGCCGGTGATTTTGGGATTGCAAAACGGGGATCCCTATTATTAGCTCAAATGACATTGGGCTATTATTTTCGTGTTGGCATTTTGCGTTGATTCACTATAAACGGGGAATCACTTTTTAAATTGTTGCCACCAAATACTAGAGCCCTGTATTACATTTAAAGAAATTAAAGAATCTACGTAAATGTATGTATATTTCTCGCACTGTAATAAAACAATTGTACCTGGAGCCATACAATTTTTAATAACGTACGTCTCCACCCGAATTTGGGCATTTAGAAGCCCAAATTAGGAATTTGTTTTATAATCGATTTCATATTTAGTAAAAATTTAACGAATTTTTGATTAAAAAACTCAACGATTTCAAAGCGAGCAATGGCAACACTGTACGGGAAAAGAAGCACTTTTATCTCAAACTCGCGAGACTGTGTATCGGAGATTCTGAAGATATGCTCTTTTAAATATTTTGCGATATTGCTGCTGAATTGAATTTTATTGTTTAAGTGCGAAGAACATGATATTTAATAAATGAATGTAACACACAAACGATAAAATAAACGCCCACTTGTGCGTAACTTAAAATGATATTTAATAAATGAATGTAACACACAAAACGATAAAATAAACGCCCACTTGTGCGTAACTTAAAATCTGAAAGCTTTCAGATTTTTTTTTATCATTAGCATTATTATTTTATTTGTTTACCAATTACTTATTCATTCAAATACAAAATATTGCTTAATTTCATCATTTCATCAATTCCTTTAACATCGTTAATTGTTATGATATATACCATCATAAATACTTTCTCTTTTAGCGTGAATAATATACTATAAAAGTCTCTGCAAGCGAAACCGTTTTATCGCTGATGTTTTCTTTGTGATTGTTTTTCTCTTTCTCTGGTCAATCATTCATCAGCAACTGCCAATTTAGGGCTCCGTATCAGCAGGATGCATTTTTCGCCCTCTCCTCCGCCCAGCGGCTAATCTCGTAATAGGCTTCAGGGTGATATTTTCACTACAGATTTGCGAGGCTCAGAGAAACAATTTCTCGCTGTCTGTTTCAACCGGACATAAAAAAAAAAAACATTACTTCTGGTATCGGTTCATAGCTTTTGGTATCATTATTATTATTTTTTTCATTCTATTACTGGAGATCCAGTTTTAGGACTATAGGGGCTTTTTTGAAATTAGTTACATGTGCAGCAAGGTTTGAATATTCAATTTCAATTGATTGATGAATTTCAAATATTTATTTATAGTCCCTTTAGATAAAAGATAATATCAAATAAAATACATTTATTTTTTCTGAGTTTTCTTTCGCTGAAAATAATTTAATGTTTCAGATTGACGTATGAACTTTAAGTGTGAATATGTTATTGCTTAAGCGCAGAAATCATTTATTCTGCAGATTATCTAGCTAATCTGCAGATTAAATAGAGTAATCCATTAAAGTGCTGAAAATTGTAAATATCTCATGTTACTTAGGTAATCTGGAAATTACCTATATAATCCGCATAGTACCTTGTAGAGACGTTATGTTATTTCGAAGCAGGAGACATGAAAATTGAGCAATTCCCTCCCCGAGACTCTAACCACGGACCTCTCGAATATGCGCCGAGTTTGTTGACCACTACATCAAGAAGCTACGATAAGAAGGCGCGAGAAATATCTTGTATACTCCAGCTCTTTAAAGGACGACTCAGGACAATGTCCATAACAAAACAGATGCGACTACTCTATGATCATAAATGGGGTCTAAATCCAAACATCCAAAAGGTTCTTTTCATTACCGTGGTGGAAAAAATCGTTACTTACGCAGCTGCTGTTTGGACTCACCCAATGCAAGGTAGAAAAGTAAAACACCTTTACACCATACAAAGACCTTTTGCATTGCGTATCACCAGAGCTTACCGTACGACCTCCTCAGACGCCCTTAACGTGCTCGCTGGCTTCCTTCCTCTACACATTCGTGTCGAAGAGGAGGCAGCAAGACAATTCGTATTGCAACAGAAACGACGAGTTTCCTTTGATGAAGTCAATTACCCTCCGGAGAATTACGAAACCAACAGCTGCCAGTTCAGTGTCCATCCAGCTGTCAAAAGCACGGGAGTAAATAATACCATCAATCCCACTACGACTCACCATCTCTGTCAAAAACAGCACACCATCTACACGGATAGTTCGAAGATTGACGAAAAAGTGGGAAGTACGTTTGTAGTTATGCAACAAAGTACAATAAAAGACCAAAGGAAGGGATAGCTGTGGCAAAATAATAGTGTATTTCAGGGAGAAGCAGTGGCGATTACGCAAGCAATTCGCTACTTGCAGTCCCACAACATCCGCAACGCTACTATCAAGACCGACAGACTCTCATCCCTGTATGCAATAGGAAATCCAGACCATCCTTCCAGCATAATACAAGGTGTCCAAGAAGACCTGCGGAAAAATTCATCTCTCCGTACCAAATTGGATTGGATAAAAGCGCATGCCGGCTACCACGGTAATGAATTGGCAGACCATCTCGTCAAAGAAGCAGCTACAGAGCCGACCAATTTACAAATTGACATCCCATGGCCTGTCTCATCCCTGAAAAGGACTCTGCTTTTAAAGGCAACTGGGCTATGGCAGAAGACATGGGACAATAGCGAAACTGGAAGACGGGCTCATTACCACATTAGCAACGTGGATACCACCAGGAAGATTGCTAACACCCAACTGGTCAGGTACATTACGGGTCATGGACCATTTCCAGAATATTTCAACAGATTTGGCATAAGCCATACCAGTCAGTGCACCTTTTGACAGACTGGCTCTTCGGAGGACTACCTAACATCTTGTCCCCTTACAGAAGAGCTTCACGTCAACGTCCCGTCCACAAATCGACAAGCCTTCTGTAAGTTTTTAATAAAGCAAAGGCACCTGGTCAGAAAAATCGGGCTCCTAATGGGCAAACTGGCAGAACTAAATATGGACCTGTGCCAAACTTAGCCAAATCACAGACTGCCACAATAGACAAATAGCGATTTAGTGACTGGCACCAATTTCTAATACCTTTGAATAATCTTGAATAATATTGAATGTGTGTACAACACTGATAGTCCTATTGCATGTATATACAAGTATTATTTAACGAAACTGTTTTATGCCAATTATCTGTATTATATTAACTAACTGAACTGTACAATGGAATTAGCATTATCTGTATCTGCATATATTTATATCTTCTGTACCTTATATCATTTATTTCGTATCATCCTGTATCATGCAAACTATTCAAAACCCTGTATCATGTATTCTGACATCCGCATATATTATCTCGTATTATCATCTCTGTATCATGTAACTTATTCATTTCAACTTATCATGCGCCTTGTATCAAGTATCCTTGGCATTAGCATAAATTTGTATTTCCAGCACCTAGTATCATATATCTCGCAAAATCTTAGTTATGTAACTTATTCTGGATCCAGTATCATGTATCCCGGCATCTGCATATATAATCTCGTATCATCTTGTAGCATGTAACATATTCTGCACCATGTATCATGTATCTTGGATCTTGGTATCTGCCTATATTAGTATCTTCTGCACCTCGTATCATATATCTTGTAACATCCTGCAATACGTAACCTATGTTGTAAAATGTAACCCGGTATGTTTAACAAATATCTCGTATCATCCTGTAATATGTTTCATATATCTCGTATCATCCATTAATATGTATTATGTATCATGCATCTTGGTATCTGCTTATATTAGTATCTTCTGCACCTTGTATCATAATCTTGCAACATCCTGCAATACGTAACCTATGTTGTAAAATGTATGTAAATCTTGTATCATTGTGTAATATATATCATATTTCTCGTATCTTCCTGTAATAATTATATATCTCGTATCATCCTTTAATATGTAACCTATTTTGAACCTTCTTTTCTTAAGTATGTGTATGTCACCTTATGCATGTCCTTGTATTTGTCACCTTTATGTATCTACCGCACCTTATGTTCTACGTATCATGCATCCTGGCATCTGCCAATATTTGTATTTTCTGCATATTGTAACATATATCTCGCATAACCCTGTATCATGCATCTTAGGGGAGGGCGCGGGACATATGCCTGTTTACCTCTGTTAAACATCAGGCGTCCCCGTCCTCCGTCACCTGTCACCTGTATCATGCATCTTAATTCGCACCTTCTACCATGTATCCTGCCACTTATATAACTCTGCACCTCGTATTACGTATCTTGGCATCTGCATATATCTATATCCACAACATCTTGTATCATATATCTCGCAACATCCTGTAACATGTAACTGATTCTGCTCCTACAGATCTTATATTCATAAGTATGTGTACGTCACCCAATGTGTGTCACCTTAAATATGTTCTTATGTATGTCCCCTTATACATCTCATGCACCCCATGTTCCTACGTAAGATGTATTTAGGCATCTGAATATATGTGTATCTTCTGCACAGTCTATCTGTAGCCACAGTATGTTCTTATGTATCATGAATCTAGGCAATAGATAAAGGTGGACGTGACGTTCGATTTCAGGCAAAGGCGATGCTCATTTTTCATGACTCCTGCTTCCAAAAAATACCTAATGTCTCTACAGTGTAAATTAAAATAGCGTTTGTTTCTCTAAGTTTTCATCTGTTTGCTAATGCAGCTGAGAGTTAAATCAATCTTCCAATATTATAAAAAAAAAGGATTCCTCATTAGCACAGTTAGTTAAAGTAGTATTTTTCTTTTAAAATAAGAAGCATGAATATTTACTAGTTTTTTTGCAGAGAATCAGGAAGACCGAGTATATTACAATATGATGATGTGTTCTGCGTATTTCGAAGAAATGTTAAGCATTTGATAAAATAAATATCGGATATGAACACCATATATCTTCCTCGTACGGCCTATTAAATTATATACATATTTTTCTGCATTTCATTTAAATTTATTTCCTCCAATTTCATTAGAGATATATTTCTCATTCAATCAATTCGGTTCTCATTTCGGGGCAATACATAAAAAATTCAAATCATCTACATTAGAAATAATAAAACACACAAAAACCTAAAACACCATCCACAGTTCAGAAGATTTTAAAAAATAATTTTTTCAGTAAAAATTAAAATTCCTATGCCAAACAAGCAATTCCGTTGACGGGCAGGGAGACAAACATTTGGTGCACAAAATTGAAAGTTAAATTTTTCTAAAGCTGACACTCAAGTTGGTGCATCAACTGACATAACTCAGTATTCTACAAGAAATTTGAAATATTAACAAATGACGGCATAGTTAGGCTTAGCACCGTTTAATTTATAAAATTGTTGATAAACTTACAACTATTACATGCAGAATAATTAAAGGCATAAAACCTTTAACCTAAGCATAAGAACAACATAATCCAACCACTTTAAAACTTATAACGAACACTTGCCTATAAGGACATTGGCCACTCTTAAGCGGTGACCATTTTATTATGGAAGCACCTAATAGGCGGCCATCGTTACCTCCTATGAAGGGACAGACAGTTTTACATCCATGCCTTCTCCGGAATTCGAACCCGGGCCTTTTGGTATCGCAAGTCAGGCTCCCCTAACCACTATACCGTCTGGGCGACAACCAATAATCAATAAAATTTACCAACATATAAAAATAGAATTACTGAGCTCACTGTGCGTCCGACTGCCACGGAAAAGGGAGATGCACAACTACACGTTATAGCAGTCCCGCATCTAAATTTCAACGTTCTATGGTTACTCGTTTTTGAGTTATGCCAGATACATTTATACGTATGTGCACGTATTTATGTATCTCGCACGGCGTCAAAAAAAATATTCTCTTCTGAATCCATTTTAAATCCGTTTTGAAAAAAAAAAAAGTCTTTTATTTGTCCGTACGTATAGTTGTCAGGTAAAAACATAATTAAAATGAATTCGAGAGCTGTTAAAATGGATTATTTTCTTTTAAATGTATACCGGAGATTTTTAAGATTATAGTACTTCCTTTACTTTACACAAGGAAGTAAAAATATCGATTCAATATAATAGCAAACTAAATATTTTCAATCAATTTTAAGTTGGTTTATCCTGATATATGAAGTGTGGATTGGTTCTATGTTATTTTATTGAGTATTTCATATTTCCCTTTTATCCGTAAAGTCAGATCTCAAGGGCGCTGTAAACTTATCAGGATTAAGATGTTAATTTCATGCTTTAGAAAAGGCATGGCAAATTAATGCAAATAAAAAACGGTTGTTTAATTAATTCACTTTTGAACCATAATAAATCAAAAATCAGAGCACAGAAAATAATCTCAAATGCGTTTTATTTTTACGTGCATTATGATGTCTTTTACTATAACCTCTGCAAGGAAAACTTCATTACGAAGTCCGCACTTAATTTCTATAATGCATTCTCTCTCTAATAGATTAAGGGAAGAAGTGCTGAACTACAGTTTCCTCTTTTTAACAGGATAACCATGAAAATGCATTACGGATCAATTTATTTAAGTGCACATTCCCCGGATAAATAATAACAGAATAGCAAAGAGGGAAAAAAAAACATTTTTATATACTTCTGAATGCTATTTTTCCAGGTCTCGCTTTTAGAACTAAAACCTTCGAAAAAGGAAAAAGTACTAAAAAAATGTAAAAAATTACATAATAGATTATTTCGAGGTCTTCTCCAACAGTTATAGGATTTCAGAGCATAACAAACTCCCTTTTAGATGATTTATGGCTGTCTCCAGGCGACCTAGACCAAAAGACCATGGCTGTGGATATCGGTTTTAAAGAAAATATGGACATTCAAAGAGCTTAAAGATGGATAAATATCCATTATTTTAAGTACCTAATAATGCTTGAAATGGCTTTCAAAAATTACACATTATTGAATTTAATAAATGGTATCCCCTTTATTCCTATAGGAATATTTGTACTCTATTAACTTACAGCAGTAAATATTTAGTAGTAAAAAGGAACTTTTAAAGGGATTTCAAAGTAAGCATATTTTTGGAATAATACGTGAAATTTGATTGATATTCTCAAGTATTCGTTTCACCGAAAGCTTCTCGAATAAAAGTTTAATTTAGATGATATCCTCCGACATATATATACATATATAAAAATTTTATTTTTTGTCAAAGCTGAAGATTAAACTATAGGTTTATATACCATGATTCAAACTTATAAATTTATATATTAATATTCTAATTGCATAGAGTTTCTAACAAATTTTATAGATTTTAATTTTTTAGATAATCTAGCACACACGCATACCCTATTTATAGCATACATATATCATCATCACTATTTATAGCATATAGTGTTAAGAAATGCCAAGCTCCGGTAAGATAGCTTCCCCACAAAGCAGGTTTAGGGTTACCAGAAAATGATAGGGCAGAGTTGCCATATTTGACTGGCATTCGCACATTTGGCGACAAAATTGGCGATATGCCATAGACGGATGGAGAATATTCTGGAACGAATTCTTAGTGGTTTGGCCCAGAATGTTCTCGAAGGCCAGCCAAAAGCTATATAAACTCTGCCTGTACGCGGAGTAGTAGTCTAGTACCGTAGTGGATCGCGAGTTAGTGCATTGCGAGAGTGCATCGTCGAGTTCTATCTTGAGTGTGTTGAGCTCTGAGAGCGATCGCCCGAATCACGAGCTGTATTTTAATTGAATGAAGTGGTTTTCACCGTTATAGCCTGAAGGTTATGTTGACGAATGTTTCAGCGTGCTTGTCGTAGTTTTTTGACGATTGTAAAAGTGTTTTTGCAAGCTTCCTGAGT